ACTTGTTTGCATGCAAAAAGTCTCGATAAATATTCAGAGTTACGAATAGACATTTCCAAGAGATTGCTATTTAGTAAATAAAGATTGAACAACGGACACCAAAGTTATAAGGTAGTGAACCCCTACTTGAGAAAACATCAACATAACCAGCAAAAATCCACTAACAAAATTAGAACAATCAACAATTTTCTGGTTCACAAAATTTCTAGTCTTCAACTAAAATTTAAACAAAAAACATAAATGGCTGTTTAATTGGCAGTATAACAAAAATTATTATTATTATTATTATTATTATTATTAGGGCTATTGCCGCACTTCCTAATAGGGATGGTATGCCACTTATATATTCCATTGCTTTTTTCTCGAAGATTCCAAATAAATTTAAAGGCTGTAACTATCAACAGCCACTCCTTTTTCATGTAGTGGGGGTGCATGAGGGCATCTCAATTTGTTTAAATGATCTTAATTTATTTTAATTTTCACTGATATTAATTGAAGTCCATGTTGAACAGCGTTGACTTAATATTTAATCTAATGAGAGGAAAAAGTTTATTTGTATAGACTTTTTCTTTAATATATTGTGCTAACCGAATTTATTTTTACAAAAAAAATTGATATATGTACAATTTTTGTAAATGTGAGGCGAAAAGACTTTAGGTCATGTTGACTATGATATTGAACTGAACATCTTAAACTTCAGTGTAAATATTGATCTAAAAATTGGTAAAAGCCTAAAGGGTTAATGTTCGAAACGTTGAATAGTTGAACCGACTGTGAAAAAACAAAAAGGAAAAAAAAAAATAAATAAATAAAGGAAAAAGGTGAACGGACTGATATGATGGTGAACTAGGTTGTTAATTTTTTTTATGTAATTGGACCGATTTTAGATTTGAAGCTATTGGTCTAGTTAACTTGTTGTATCATTGATTGAGATATTATAGCGGCTACATATTTATTTATTTGAACTTTGAATGCAAAAAAATATTTTCAATTATTTAGAGAATTATTTTAATTGTTGTAAGATCCGCCTATGATACGCCTGATGCCCTAGGATATATGAATATATGCTTTTTTCAATGTTATTTTAAATTTTTTAATTCAAACTCTGCATGCATAGAATATTAATTATTGCTGATAAAAAAAATAGAACAAAATGCAAACTTGCAATGATAAGAGTACTGCAGAATAGTGCTTCCTTTACATTCAACTTAAAAGTTAAAAACTAGCCATAGCATACATTGTTTCACTTATTTGCTGTTGTAAAAACACAGTTGAATTAGTTATGAAACAAACTTCCGTGCCCTCTTAGCGGCGCAAGTCATTTTTGGTACTCTGGTGAAGAAAAATTACCTGCGAAATGAAGTTGGAGCTTTCTTCCCCGTTGTACCTCTGATGTGAGAATGAGTAAGAGATTTAAAAACATGGACTTGGAAAAAATAGAATGCATATTCAAATAGTCAAAAATATTCAGATTCATACTTATCTCGCTTTAAGAGTATTTATAGGTGACTGAAGTTATGCAACTATTGGGAGGTTATTGTGCCACACGCCCCACGTTTCGAGTGGAGGATCTCTACATATCCAACGGTTGATTATGTCCATGCTAATTGTTGAATTGTTCCCATCCAGCTCAAGAATGTTTTTATGGTTACATGTTGTATTGGCTTTCTCATGACGGTAGACAACCTTGAATGAATGTAGAGAGCCTTATAGTGGTCGACATCATAACATGGACATAGAGGGCCTTATAGCAATAGATTGTCTAGCATGCAAGTAGAGGGCTTTGTAGTGGTTGACGATCTAGCATGTGGTGCTTTACGTAGAGTGCCTATTAAGTAGCTTTCACTTTATTGACTATCGTAGACAATTATTGATACCTCTAATATCAACAGTAATACTACTAGAAGACTTGTTATTTTTGGCTCGATTTGGTGTATGAATTTAGTTTTTGATAAGTCTGACGGCTCAACAGTAGCGCGAAATTTAGTTTCTCATCTAGTAGATCTGATTTATAGTTAGGGGCAATACATACAAAAAGGTTTGAAGAAGGTACACACATAAGAATAAGTCGAGTAGACGTAGATGATCTGTACCCTTTTAATACGGCGGTATGCAATGAACTATAATAGCCGTAAATAGGAGCTGCTTCACATTATTGTTAGGTATAAAAGTATGCATACTAAAGCTCAAAGTATTAGAAGTTCTTTGTAGTGCAAGTAAAACACGGGTGATAATAATCACTATGATATTCCAATAAAATAACCTCTAATAACATTAGATATTAGAGTTCAATGCAAAATATACATTCTTAAATTTCCAATATTCAATTATAATTCCACCGTTATAAATTAAAATAAAAATATAATTCTCACAATTGAAATTTACCCTTAAGTATCATAGGAGGTACGGAGAAATATTTTAATAATTTCTGTATTTTAAGTAATCAAAATCAAATAAAAACAATGGTCCCAGTAAATGAATGAGTCAATTTAATGAATCCAAACTTTGGTTGAGATATCAACATCACTACTTCTATTGGTGGGCTCTTATAATGTAAATCTACTTCAAATAAGCATCTCAGAGATAATAATTGTTGTGAAATTGCTAAAAAATAATTTACTATAGGATCACTCTTCGCGAATAATGAGTTAATCAAGTGATAAATATAGAAGTAAAATATAAATAATAAATTGTTTAATTAAGTTTTTATTTAATTTCGTAATAAGATTTTCTAAATCAAGTTTCGATGAAAAGTGGATTGAGTTAATGTTAAGGCATCAATAGCTTCAACTAAATAATAAATTGAAACGGACACTAACGTTAAATCCATCCATATTGTAAGATTTTAACCTTTGGTATAGACAGATCACAAGCCCACTTAGGACGTAAAGAACAATGCTCTCTGGTATAATGATCAACAGAAGCTAAAAAGCACAATTGATTCTTTCTATCGGCGACTTGTTTGGAAGTTGACTTTTTTTTTTTTTTTTGTCTTAGTCAAGTTTATATGAGACGAGCCTAGTGATGACAAAAAAATTCGCCCCCACCCCATGAAGAATAATAAAAAAAATTGTTTTGGACATTATTTGTTTCGAGTGCTTATTTTGAATATTGATTTAGTTAGTGTGAGCATTATTTGCTTAGGATTTTAAAATTTTGAATTTGTATTTTAATTGAAAATTTTTTTTAAAAAAAGGGGGACAGGCTTGCACCCCGCCCCGTCTAAGGTAGGGCGGGGAAGTGGCGGGGCCCCTTCCCGCCCCGCTGCCATCTCTAGACGAGCCTAATCACTAATCTAGGGAGAGATTTCAAGAAGGTTGCTATATATTTCGCATACATGTTTCTTGTAGAATTTGATCTCAATTTTATATAAAGGCTGGTAATAGAAGTAAAGTAGTATGTTATTCATGTTATAATAAATAAACTACCTACATTCACAAACTAACTTTGAGATTGATAGAAACTTAAATACAATAACTACCTCAACTACGCTATGCTCCTAATTTTCTCATGAGTGAATACTACATACAATAGACATCTATCCAATTTCGATTTCTTTAATAATTTGACATGCTTTCACTCTTACAATTCAAACTGACGTGAATATTGGTGTACACACCCCCCCCCCCCCCCCCCC